TCCTGCTGGCCAGCTTCCGTCCTTCAGTTCTGGTGGTGATCCCCACCAACCTCACCTGTGACTCTTACAGTGCAATGTGAGAAACCTGGCACCTTTGGTTTTCAGTTTGTATGCAGTCTGGAGAAACAAGCACTGAAAGATCTGCATTTTGTATGTTTCTTTAGATTGAAAGGCCTGGAGACGGCTTTGGCAGTTCTCCCATCTGGACTTAAAGCGGAGCTCAAGTCCAGTGTAGACCAACTTGTACAGTCACAAGGAGAAGGTATGGCATGACAAAGAAATTCTGACTAAATGCATGTGTGTGTAAGCCATATGCCAGTGGCCTCCTATTGACCCGAAATCTCTTTTTTTCTTGGCTTCTCTTCAGACTGTACGCCTCCTCGCCCCGTCGGTTTCGTAAGTACTTCATTGTTTAAGATGGCTAATGAGTTGAGTTAAAGCCCAAGAGAAGCTGTTCATAATTGTTTTCTCTTTTCTTTCTGCTTCATCTTCTCTCGCAATAGTGCAATGAAACATTAGTAGATGGTAAGTCAGAACACACAACGGCAGTTTGCGATTGATGGAATCGAGTCATTTTGCAATAAACTCATAAGATAGTATGTGAAAGTTCTCCATCTGATCTTGTTTTTTTTTCTTCCTTTACAGAAAACAGGCTGTGTCAAGATGTTAACCGGTGAGTATTGGTTTGGTATCTACTGAAAGCAGAGGTAGGCTTCAGAAAGTGTTGTAAATGGGAATCATGCTTTTGTGCCTGGCAGTGGTCAACTTGAGGCTCAGCGTCTGTCTGAAAATTCCTCGGCTGGGCTGTGCGACTTCAACATCTCTGATTATGCCTGCTCTTCGGTAAGTCCTCCATGAGCTCTGCACCCGAGTGCTTGTCTTTGAAAAGTGTCCTGTGTATCTGACTGCTTAAATCTGTCCACCTCTTTCAAGGTTGCATCATCTCTGTCCTCTGATGACATCTTCACGCTGCTGACTTGCAAGGTGCCAAGTGGCACGAGCACAGAGACGTGGAAGCTTTTCTTCCTGAAAGTGGCAGGAGTTCTGGAGGATGCTCTGTCAAAGTTCTCCAACATGGTAGGCGACGCCCCTGCTTTTTATGGAAGAGAAAATGGAGTGCTGCCTCAGAGCTCTGAATTGACATGCCCCATTATTTTTACAGACCCTACCCAACGGTCAGCCTCAGTCCCATGTTCTCGATGCCATAGGAGAGGTGAAAGTCAACAACTTCAGCGCTGCACAGCTGACGGATGCCGGCTTCGTTGCCGCCTGGTTCCAGGACAGGCTGAGGCCATTTTTGTCAGCAGTCTCTAGGGACTTTCTGTCCTGCCTTAGCTCCAAGAACTTCAGTTGCGACACCTACCAAGTTGTGTAAGTATGCTCAGTGCTGTGGAAATCCTCAAGCGGTGTTTAGCGGAGTTAGGTCTGGCAATCCGTGACGTTCGCTGATCTTTCCTGATTCAGGGTGCAGGCTCTCGGTCGTCAGGCATCACTCATGGCGGAGGAGCAGAAACGGGCCGTCTTCACTCAATTCATCCAGCGCTTCTTGTCGAGAGACGACCTAAAAGGTACTTTTTAGTGCCATCACTGCCTTGAGTTGTCATCTCTCGCGCTGTAGTTCCCTAAGCGTCCGTCAACGTCTCAGCTTGTCACAGTTATTTCAGCTTGCTTACAATTCAGTGGTGCTAACCCTAACCCTAACCCTAACCCATTCCCCCAATGCTCTGTGTTCAATCCAGATCCTGCCTGTCTTTCCAAAACTACGAGCAGTGCTGACTGGCTTGAGAAGAACATTGGCAATTTCTCCAGCTACGCTGACCTGGAGGATTTGAAGTCCCTGAATGGAAATTTCTCCAGTGTGAGTAACTTTTTCTGGCTTGCTCCAGTAGCTCGTGTGACGTGTCATTTATTTAAAAAATGTTTATTTTATTATTATTCTTTTTTTTAAACATAAACTTCTGAATCTGTGTCCATGGTGTGCTTTAGCTTGCATCACTGGCACTGCTGACCCCTACCCAAGTAGCTCAACTCACACTGAGCTCTGGAGTACTGAACAACACCAACCAGATCAGCGCTGTGTTCGACCGACTGGAGGAAGGCGACGCTTTCCAGAACGTGGAGGAGTTTCTGACGGCACTGAGCGCAGCTCCCGAGGCAAGTCAATAAGTCAAAGTGTCTGACAGAGATCGCATTGATGCCGTGGAGAATAGCCCAAAGTACGGTACTCTCTTACAGTGCCGTTCACAGTCCTGGTTTTCTGTTTTTGCAGACTCCCGATATCACCCCTGCCGCGAGAGACGTGATGATGAACCGAACCTTCATAATCATCAGATCGAAGATCCAGGAATTTGAGGCCTCTGTCTGGGTTACGTGGTTCACTGTGAAGCTCATCCCCATCCTCCCCAGTTTCACCCCGGAAATGCTGGTTACGGTCACAGCTAACATCAGCTGCACCAACTACCATGTGATGTGAGTGCATGAATTTGGAGAAAGGAAGTTTGTAGATCTGCACCAATGCATCCACATAATGACCCTCTGTGGCTCTCTGTTGCAGAGTTAAAGGACTAGGATCTGTGTTCCACGAAATGACACTCATCAGGACGCAGGAGATAACCAAAGTTCTGGTGGAGCACCTGAAGAAATTTGCCACCCAATTTAGCCTTCCAGGTAGGCCTTTCCAAAGCACGCTTCTGCGGCATCCCTCTATTGCCAGAATAGAGTGCGTTGCAGTGGGATTTTTTTTCCCCCAGCTGACAGCTCACCGTAGTTGTGTGTGTCAACTTCATAACAGTGCAGGAATGCAGACTGATCTTCCTCCACCCCTATCTTTAAAAACAGGTTGCAGACAGAACATTGCCAGCGATGCTGATTGGCTTAAGGCCAACTTGGGCCCATTCACCACACTGGCCAATTACTCGGACCTTAAGGAGTTGAACGTCAGCGGGGTAAAATACCAACCTTCTCTTATGTTTCTGTTGTCATACAGCTTTAATAGAGAATTTGATTGGCACTTGTACTAGTGCTTAAGTGTTGGGCAGAAAGCAGAGCGCTGACAGTCCTTCCTGCTATTTCCTTGGTGTTATGCTCACCTCAGGTGGCAGCTCTGGAAACCCTGTCACCTGATCAGAAAGCCGAGCTGCTGTTGGATCCGTCCACCGGTGCTCTTGAAAATGTGACCGTGGTGAAGGAGGTGTTGAGCAGCATCCTAAAATCCCCAGATGAGAATCAGCTTGAGAAATTCTTTGAAAAATTTGTGGAAGTCAGCAAGGAGGTGAGTTTTTTTTTTTCATCTGATGAACCTGATTATCCTAATTGGCCTAGACCATGATTGTGATGCTCTTGAACAAGAAGGCTCTGTTTCCCTCCCTCCTCCAGGAAAACGTCACCTACATCACAAACGTGGAAGTCCGAGACACAATGCTGAACCTGACTTTGACTGCTCTGGCTCCCAAATTCCCCCTCTTCCAAACGAGTGACTACGAGCTGTGGTTTCAAATCAATCTCGTGGTCCTGCTGGCCAGCTTCCGTCCTTCAGTTCTGGTGGTGATCCCCACCAACCTCACCTGTGACTCTTACAGTGCAATGTGAGAAACCTGGCACCTTTGGTTTTAAGTTTGTATGCAGTCTGGAGAAACAAGCACTGAAAGATCTGCATTTTGTATGTTTCTTTAGATTGAAAGGCCTGGAGACGGCTTTGGCAGTTCTCCCATCTGGACTTAAAGCGGAGCTCAAGTCCAGTGTAGACCAACTTGTACAGTCACAAGGAGAAGGTATGGCATGACAAAGAAATTCTGACTAAATGCATGTGTGTGTAAGCCATATGCCAGTGGCCTCCTATTGACCCGAAATCTCTTTTTTTCTTGGCTTCTCTTCAGACTGTACGCCTCCTCGCCCCGTCGGTTTCGTAAGTACTTCATTGTTTAAGATGGCTAATGAGTTGAGTTAAAGCCCAAGAGAAGCTGTTCATAATTGTTTTCTCTTTTCTTTCTGCTTCATCTTCTCTCGCAATAGTGCAATGAAACATTAGTAGATGGTAAGTCAGAACACACAACGGCAGTTTGCGATTGATGGAATCGAGTCATTTTGCAATAAACTCATAAGATAGTATGTGAAAGTTCTCCATCTGATCTTGTTTTTTTTTCTTCCTTTACAGAAAACAGGCTGTGTCAAGATGTTAACCGGTGAGTATTGGTTTGGTATCTACTGAAAGCAGAGGTAGGCTTCAGAAAGTGTTGTAAATGGGAATCATGCTTTTGTGCCTGGCAGTGGTCAACTTGAGGCTCAGCGTCTGTCTGAAAATTCCTCGGCTGGGCTGTGCGACTTCAACATCTCTGATTATGCCTGCTCTTCGGTAAGTCCTCCATGAGCTCTGCACCCGAGTGCTTGTCTTTGAAAAGTGTCCTGTGTATCTGACTGCTTAAATCTGTCCACCTCTTTCAAGGTTGCATCATCTCTGTCCTCTGATGACATCTTCACGCTGCTGACTTGCAAGGTGCCAAGTGGCACGAGCACAGAGACGTGGAAGCTTTTCTTCCTGAAAGTGGCAGGAGTTCTGGAGGATGCTCTGTCAAAGTTCTCCAACATGGTAGGCGACGCCCCTGCTTTTTATGGAAGAGAAAATGGAGTGCTGCCTCAGAGCTCTGAATTGACATGCCCCATTATTTTTACAGACCCTACCCAACGGTCAGCCTCAGTCCCATGTTCTCGATGCCATAGGAGAGGTGAAAGTCAACAACTTCAGCGCTGCACAGCTGACGGATGCCGGCTTCGTTGCCGCCTGGTTCCAGGACAGGCTGAGGCCATTTTTGTCAGCAGTCTCTAGGGACTTTCTGTCCTGCCTTAGCTCCAAGAACTTCAGTTGCGACACCTACCAAGTTGTGTAAGTATGCTCAGTGCTGTGGAAATCCTCAAGTGGTGTTTAGCGGAGTTAGGTCTGGCAATCCGTGACGTTCGCTGATCTTTCCTGATTCAGGGTGCAGGCTCTCGGTCGTCAGGCATCACTCATGGCGGAGGAGCAGAAACGGGCCGTCTTCACTCAATTCATCCAGCGCTTCTTGTCGAGAGACGACCTAAAAGGTACTTTTTAGTGCCATCACTGCCTTGAGTTGTCATCTCTCGCGCTGTAGTTCCCTAAGCGTCCGTCAACGTCTCAGCTTGTCACAGTTATTTCAGCTTGCTTACAATTCAGTGGTGCTAACCCTAACCCTAACCCTAACCCATTCCCCAATGCTCTGTGTTCAATCCAGATCCTGCCTGTCTTTCCAAAACTACGAGCAGTGCTGACTGGCTTGAGAAGAACATTGGCAATTTCTCCAGCTACGCTGACCTGGAGGATTTGAAGTCCCTGAATGGAAATTTCTCCAGTGTGAGTAACTTTTTCTGGCTTGCTCCAGTAGCTCGTGTGACGTGTCATTTATTTAAAAAATGTTTATTTTATTATTATTCTTTTTTTTAAACATAAACTTCTGAATCTGTGTCCATGGTGTGCTTTAGCTTGCATCACTGGCACTGCTGACCCCTACCCAAGTAGCTCAACTCACACTGAGCTCTGGAGTACTGAACAACACCAACCAGATCAGCGCTGTGTTCGACCGACTGGAGGAAGGCGACGCTTTCCAGAACGTGGAGGAGTTTCTGACGGCACTGAGCGCAGCTCCCGAGGCAAGTCAATAAGTCAAAGTGTCTGACAGAGATCGCATTGATGCCGTGGAGAATAGCCCAAAGTACGGTACTCTCTTACAGTGCCGTTCACAGTCCTGGTTTTCTGTTTTTGCAGACTCCCGATATCACCCCTGCCGCGAGAGACGTGATGATGAACCGAACCTTCATAATCATCAGATCGAAGATCCAGGAATTTGAGGCCTCTGTCTGGGTTACGTGGTTCACTGTGAAGCTCATCCCCATCCTCCCCAGTTTCACCCCGGAAATGCTGGTTACGGTCACAGCTAACATCAGCTGCACCAACTACCATGTGATGTGAGTTATTCGAGAAAGCTTTTTTTAAATCTCACACTTTCAATACTTATACATCTTTTATGTGTTCTTTTGCTACTCAATTTGGTCCAAGAGTAGATAATATTTTAATTCGATAAATATAAATATTTTAAGTATAATGTCTTATCAAGTAGCTTTTTCAAACTATTTTTATTTGTTTGCTTTTCTCTATTGGGTTTCCATATTAAAATGTTCCTGACAATTTGTCTTGAATTATTTTTTTAAGTGTGTTGCTGAGGATTTTCTCTCGATTTAGCTGTGTAAATGGGCTGCTATTTGTTTTAATTATAATGATATTCAGTATTGTAAGTAAACACTAAAAATACATAAATAGATATTGTGAGAATCATGATGTCAGTGAATCTCTTGTTGTTCACAGTGTTGAAGGACTTAGTACAGTTTATTCACAAATGCCAGCCAAAAGAAGAGAGGAAATTGCTGCAAGTCTATTGCTGTACCTTAAGCAGTCTGTGAACCAGATCAATCAGCCAGGTGTGTCCGTTTGTATCATACATACATACGTTTTTAAGTAGCTTTGAATAAAAGTGCATCTTGAATTAATATACCGCACATTAATGTCATCACTTGACATAATTGTACTGTCTACATTCTGCAGCCTGCAATCAGGACATCAAAAATGACACTGACTGGCTGGATCTGAACCTCGGTCAGTTCTTCACCTATGTGCCTTATTCTGACTTGGCACAATTCAACATCTCTAAGGTAAAACTCAAAACTCTGTTCAAACTACTCTCCTTGCTGTCAAGTTCTTTGTGCTGGTCTGGAATCCAAGTTTCATTTCCTAATATAAGTAACCCTTCATTTATGTATGTTCACGTTGCAGGAAGCGGTGTATGGCTCTCTCACTGATGAACAGAAGGTAGAGCGGATCTTGACGCCGGGTCTGTTGGAGGACGAGTCTGCCGTCAAAGAAGTGTTTGGATCTGTTGTAAACTCTCCAGACCAGAACCAGTTGGATGATTTCTTTAACAAACTCATCAGCTCTTCTGCACAGGTGTGTATCGTTTTTACTCTATGATACACACCTGTATGTGCATTTTTTTTTTTCTTGCTAAATAAATGTTGATTCAGATGTACTCAGTGCCCAGTGCAGTGCCATTCAAGAGGATCTGTGGACATTGTGTTTTGTTTTCAGAGAAACGTATCGAGCATCAACAGTGCTGTGAGCAGCGTCATCCTGAACATGACCTTGATGAACCTGGCGACCAGATTTCAAACCTTCAACCCGCAGACATTTGCCCTGTGGTTCCAGACTTATTTGCACCTGTTCCTCCCTGGTATCGGTCCAGATAGTCTTTCTGTCATCCCGAAGACCATCAGCTGTGATTCTTACAGAGAAATGTGAGCTCTACCTGTGAAACATTGAGTCCTTAGTCAAGCTTTGACCCTGGGTTAGTCCAGTCATCCGTGTAAAGGTCCTGATCTAGAGCTGTCCTTTTGGGAAAATTATTCATTTGCTTCCTAAAACTCACACAATGCATAGAAATAAACAGTGAGCATTGAGTCTTCACAGTGTTCCTCAGGTTACAAGACACTCATTTGTTTGATTAACTAGATACATGTTAGTTAAAGGTAGTGTAGGTCAGAATTTAAAAAAAAAATTTTTTTCCAAATTTCTTTAAACTTTCTGTATACATCAATGCATAATTAAAATCTAAGTACTCTGAAAAAGAAAGTATTAAAATCGAGTGACTGTAGACCTCTCACGACTGTTTTAAAGACAGCTCATTATTTCCATTCACTCACCCCCTCCCTTCTGGGCTCCTTCCAAAGCCACGCCCCCAAAACACATGAACGCGCGACTCTGACTGACAGCTGAGCTGAAGACGCATTATTTACCTGAGACGAGCGGAGAGGAGAGGAAGGAGTGCATGTAGTGACATCATGTCAGAAACACATGTAAATAAAAAAATCTAACTATCATTATGATAAACAAATAAGTTGTATTTTATTACTCACTATCGAGCTAGCATATTGATATTGGTAAAGTTTACAATATATATTTATTGATTCGCTAACGAGCTAGTTATCTATAAGGCAAAGCTAAAAACAGGTTGCATGATACACGTTTTTCCAGTGTTGTAGTACTCGAGACTCGGACTCGTCTCGGACTCGAGACCATATTTTAATGGTCTTGGTCTTGTCATGGACTCGTGTCCATTTGGACTCGGAATTGACTCGTACTCGAACATTTTTTTTTTTAGGACTTGGAATTATTCCTGAGTCCACTCGAGTTCAATTCAAAATATTTTTCATGATTATTAATGTATGTTAATAAAATATTTCTTTAAATTGATTGACACGCCCAGTGATTGGTGATTTTCTAGTGCGCAACTGCGCATGACAAATTGTAATAAAATTACTTTTAACACCACCTACTATGTGGCCTTTTTACCCTAAAGTAAATTCAGTAAAAAAAAAAAAAAAGGATTTCTCGAAGTAAATAAAAGTAAATTAGGTAATCAACCCTTACTGGTCTCGGTCTTGACTCGGACTCGACCGTCTCTGGTCTCGGACTCGACTCGGACTCGACTCTCTCTGGTCTCGGTGTCGACTCGGACTCGAATGAGATGGTCTCGACTACAACACTGCGTTTTTCCATTGCCATCATTTACACTGTGATGAAGATGAATTTCGTGTAAGATTCATAACATATATTAGGTGTTCTGACTGCATGTAAGAGTTTGCTTGATGAAAGCATGATGAGGACTACATTCCCGAGACAAGTAAGTTACCCATAGACAGTATAAGAAAGCAAGTACCGCATCGTCAGCTCGAGGACAGATCCGTGGTTGAGGGCGACGCAGAGGAGGGTCCGAGGAAGTAGAGGCCGAGGACGGGGTGGTCGAAGTGCAGGGCAAGGAGCACTTTTTAGACAAGAGGACCTGCGTCGAGTTTTGCATCTTCAAGCTCAAACAAGGGCATGCGAACAGGTACGATCTGGATACGCGCAAGTGGGCAGGTCCTGTGTGGCAAAAGGGCAGTTGCCATGGTTGCGAGAGATTGACAATCGCCTAAGCCAATCCGTTGTTTCGTCCCAGTTCGAAATAATGAGCTGTGTTTAGTGCAGATTAAACGGTCTAGAGTCACTCGATTTTTATACTCTTTTTTTTTTCAGAGTACTTAGATTTTAATTATGCATTGATATACAGTATATAGAAAGTTTAAACAAATTTTGAAAAAAGTTTTTATAAAATTCTGACCTACACTACCTTTAAGCGGGTCATTCTTAATTATGCAATGACCATAATATCTAATAAAGTTCAGGTTAGTATGCAGTAATGCTTCTTTAAAGTGTCCACTGCTCAAATGTAGGTTCAGAGTGTTTTAAACGTCTCTTATGCTCACCAAGGCTGCAATTATTCAATAAAATATATTGAGAAATATTCAAATTTCAAAAGAACACTTTTCTTTTTAAATATCTATTAAATTGTAATTTATCTCTGTGATTGGCAAAGGTCCATTTCCTGATCCTCCGGAAATCATTCTAATATGCTGATCTGCAGCTCAAATTACATTTATTATTATAATCAATGTTGAACCTCATCCTGGACCACAGCACAGCCGTGGGACCTCCTGTATTTCATCCATTCATTCCTGTATTTCTGTTTGTAGCTTGAAAGGCTGTGATGAAGTTTACAGCAGCCTCACACTGACTCAGAGTACGAGTGTGTACCGTTTCACACGCGACTATCTGTCCCATCAGCCCAGCCAAGGTACTGTCTCTCTGTGTGTGTGTGTGGGAGTGTGTGAGAGAGAGTGTGTATGGGAGTGTGTGAGTGTCAAAATGCCATTTTTGTCTTTATGGGGAAATATTTGGTCAGACTAAGTGTTTCTTATTGAAAACGTGATGGGTAGGATTTAGGGGTCTGGTTAGTGTGTTTGCGCGCGTGTGTGTGTGAGATAGTTGTAGGATTAGGGGTAGGTTTAATGTGAGGGTTGAGAATATACAGTTTGTACAGTAAAAAAACATTATGTCTATGGAAAGTCCACATAAAACATGAAGCCCAGTGTTTGTGTGTTCATCTCATGTGTCTAATATCTAATATGTGATGTTTCAGGTCAGTCCTGTGTGCAGAGTATGAGCAGTGACTCTGACTGGCTGCTAAAACACTTCGGCCGGTTCCGCATATTTGCCACCTTTACTGAACTGATCAACTTGAAGCGAGACTTCAATGGGGTGAGATACTCATCTCTGTGTGTTCATCTCTCTTTTTCTCTCTCTCTCTCCGTGTTTTAATACCAGTCTCTCTCTCTCTCTCCACCAGGTGGCAGCCTCACTCTTGCTGACTGTGCCCCAGCTGTCTGAGCTCTGCTCCGCTCCTTCACGGCTCCGCGGACCGCAGGACGTGTTCACCGTGATGAGTGCTGTTGAAACGCCGCAGCTTTCAGACTTTTTTGATCTTCTTTCTCCCAACATCCAAGTATGTAATGTTATTTTTGTGCTGTGCTATGCAGATATATTGCTGAATTCCCCACTGACGCGTCCCCTGGCGTGTGTGACAGGTGAATGAGCTGAACTACTCTGCGGAGGTGAAGCAGGCGTTCCTCCAGACGGTGTTCGGGAGAGCAGGGCTGGCGTCTCCGTCTCTCAGCGATGCTCAGGTGTCGGTCTGGCTCTCGGCTCGACTCGCTCCTCTGCTGTCGGCTCTGAGCTCGGCAGATGTTACGCGGTACTTCGACATCGTCAGGACTCGCGGCTGTGGCGTCAGACAGGAGGCGTAAGACTCCGACATTTAGCTCTGTTCCAGTGACAGTTTTCATGGGGTGTACAGAGGGTTCACTTACTCACTGTGTTTGTGTGTTTGTGGTGCAGTGTACGTGTGCTGGACTCTTCAAGAACGGCTCTGGATGACAACACACAACTTCAGATCTATTACAACATCCAACAATTACTCACAGGTACACACACATACACACACTCACATCTATTTCTCCATCTATGGTCCATCATCGGAGCCTCTCGATGTTTGTCCCTGCAGATGCGGATCCGCTTAGCTGCTATGGCAACGGGAGCTTCTACCAGTTCCTCAAGACTTCCTTCCTCCATTTCGGGTTTCCAGACGTGAACGGCTTGCAGTCTCTGATCCCTGTGGGCAGAAGGCCTGAGGTAGCGTATGGTCCTCTCTCTCTCTCTCTCTCTCGCCCGCTCTCTCTCTCCGCTGCCCTGCTGACCCGCTGTCCTCCCGCAGGTGTTGAGCTCCATCTCCACCGCGGAGCTGAGCGAGTTCCTGCAGGCGCCGCTAGCCCTGGGCGACGGCTCGGGCCTCTGCGATCTGCTCCGCCAGTACGAGCGCACCGCACAGTATCTGGAGAAGGTAGGGCGCCACACATGATCTCAGTCTTACTAAGAGAATCATACTTTTTACACCATTCGTTTGTGGATCCTCGTGTGGTTCCGTTGATTTGCTCCTCTTATATTCACTGACACGCTGCACATAACAATCACAGCATTCGGCACTTCATAACCGTGATGAGCCAAATTGGTTTAAGTGTGATTAACCGTGCAGCGCTAGTGTGGATCATTTTAAGTGTACTTAATGTGAGATCACACGGGACACTGAGTCGTTGTGTGTGTGTGTGTGCGTCCCGCAGGAGCCGCTGGGCTCGCCGGTTCTGGCTCAGCAGGTGCTGTCCTGCGTGTGGCCTCGGGTTCTGGAGCTGGAGGTCCAGTCTGAGGTGGATCAGTGGTTCGAGTCTCGCCTCGTGCAGTACCTGCCGCTGCTCACCTCACAGCTCATCGGCCCAGCACAACTCAGCAGCGCCGCCTGCCTGCCGTTCAGGAAACTGTACGTCTGTGGGGTTACGAATCAACAAATACCTCCACACGGATCTCTCGCTTTATACTAACTGTGTGTGTGTTTAGTGTTTCAGTTCTTGGAAACAACTACAACTTCTCCAAAACGGATTTCACCCCAGAAGATGTTTACAGCTCCATAAAGGCGTATCTCACAAGCGGTACGATTATGTGCTTGGTACATGTTTCATAGCTATAAAGTTGTGTGGATATGATGTGTGTGAATTTTATAATGGTAATTGTGTGTGTGTGTACAGGTGGCTCTCCGCGGTGTTATAACGCTTCAAATCCTCAGCTGAACTCCACAAACTGGCTTGTCAGCTACATTGGCATCTTCATCAGCTACGTCACTCTGCCTGACCTCAACTCCTTTGTGTCATCTAACCAGGTAACACACACACACACGTTACATTTAGCAGATGCTTTTATCCGAAGAGCCTTACAAATGAGGAATACAACAAGCGATTCATGTTAACACACACACGTTTGCACTTTCAAGAGAAGCGTTTGCAGTGACAGCGCTCTTGTTATTGTGTAGATCGGCGTGTTCTTAGAAGACCCGGAGAACCTTCAGCTGCTCAACAGCACCGCAGTCCAGTCCAGCGTGATGAGCTACTACATCACACAGCTGTACAACCAGAACCCGACCTTCAACCCCGTCAGGTACGTATCGCAGCGACTCACGTACGTCAAGCACGATTAAAGCAGAGCAACTGGATATTCACGTGTGTGTGTGTGTGTGTGTGTGTGTGTGTGTGTGTGTTTGTAGGCTGCCAGGTAAGATCCTGTGTGGAATCCCGTCATTTGCGTATGAGCTTCTGGGATCATCAGACAGTTTGTTGCTCATTGAACGAATCAACATCTTCTGCAATGGAACCGAAAGCGCCGAGGTGATCAATCAAGAGGCCGACCGATTCTTTGATCGTTTACTGCTTATGACCTGCAGCACTGACACATTTCCCATCATCCTCTGTTCAGATCACAGCTGCCCTCGCTGCCAATCTCCCCTCCATCTCCTCCTCCACCATTCAGCTGCTCGGCAGTCAGAGCGTCAGCCTGACGGAGGGGCAGATAAGCTCCGCCTCCTCTGATGTCATCCAGAGCGCGCTGCCGACTCTCAGCACCGTCGATGGCTGGAACCAGGGCCAAGCTAATGCAGTCATACAAACTCTCATTGAGTCCAACTTTCCAGTGAGTCTCAATAACACTCGTTGTGTAGGGCAAATGCCCCTAAAAAAAGCGAGCACTTCACATGTAACCGGTCCTACTCGACCCGCCGGTGCGTAGGCTAGTCAAGTTACGTCACCTTCATTTAAATAGCACTTTTTACAATACAGATTGTTTAGGCTAGTAAGAGCTGTGTAAACCTCACTTCCCTGGCCCCAAGAAGCGTGTCAGCGGCTGACGATAGCGGCTGTGTTCTTTAGCGTCCTTGTTAGCGCATCCACGTCCCACGGCAGAGACCCGGTTTGAATCCCGCTCAGATTAGGACTGGTTACGTTTGGTGCCGTGACCCAGATGGGAGTGAGATTTAGTGGGGTGAGTGTAATGTAGGCCAGTAAGAGCTGTGTGTGTAAACCTCACTCTTCTGGCCTCGAGGCGCTAGCGACTGACGATAGCATCTGCGGTCTTGCTAGCGCCTCCCACACCGTAGACACCCGGATCGAATCCCGCTGGGAGCGTTTTAACTAGGACTGGTCACAAACTTTACTATTGATCAGAATCAGAAAGCACGGTCAACAATCGCTTTGACAATGTCTAATATTTCTTTACAATAGAATAAAATAAGGATGAGGACAAGTGACTGTTGTGTTTCTGAGTCAAGCCTTGGTGATGTTTTTCAGATCGACACCGGCTCTTCCCTGCTCTCTCTCGGGACGCTAGTCAAGGGCGTTCCGTCGGAAACCATCTCCAGCATTACTTCCTCGGAGCTCCTGGGCATATCCCGCAATCCCACTTTCATCAGCAACATCCTCTCGGCTCCGGTCATCCTGCAGCTCGTTTACGTCATGAAGGTGCCGCTCAGACGCCTGTAACAGTAGCGCTCACCTCTTCATCTGCAGCGGCTCTCAGACGCTCTGTCCTTTTGTCCCCAGATCGTGTCCATCGATGAAAGTAAAGTCCTTGAGAACGTCCCGGATGTGTTGGCTGGCTCGATCCCGCGAGTGTTGCTGGTTCCCCAGGAGTCTGTCAATGTAACCCTGATCAATAACAAGCGCTGGACGCAGGAGCAGGTGCGCTTCTTCTTCTGAAATGATTGGGGGGGAGGGGAATTGCATTAAAACACAAAACAATCATAGGCACAAATTTTCCACAACCACTCCAAAAACTTTGCCTGCATATTCATGAATCTCAGCTTCAAGCAGTTTTATATCCCTGATTAAAGAGTTCTTTTCTTGCGGATGGAGCTGAACATGTAAACGATGTGCCTTATGTTGTGTGTTTGTGCTGATTTCTGCTCGTTCTGTTGGCACATAGGCTGAGGTGCTGTTCGGCTCCGTGGCCAGTGTCAGTACGGACACCGAGGAGTAAGTGACTCAGGAATATGACGAGAGTATCAGCTCGTGGTCCACACAGCAGGCGTTTGAGAGAGAGTGTGTGTGTGTGTCTCCCTCTGCAGGCTGTCCGAGGCGCTGCTCCAGGGTTTCACCTGCACTTCGGCCCAGACGCTGGGAGAAGGGAAGGTCAAGCAGCTGGTCAGAGCCTGCAGGAGCCGGGCGGGTCGGCAGAAGGTCCAGCTGAAGGAGAGTCAGGTACCCATGATGCTTCAGACCTGGACATTACACGCCTGACGCGCGTGTGTTTGCCAGGTTTGTGACTGTCGTCTTGTTGTTTTCCAGCTGATGTGCATGCACAAATACGTGAAAGAAGAGGCCTCGTCCAGCTTCTCAGACTTGCCTTCAGAAATGCTGCTTTACTACAGGTCAGTGACACTAACATTTATTGGGCAAGGCAATGTTATTTATTAAAGCACATTTCATACTCAATGGGGATTCAAAGTGCTTTGCATCAAAGCAATTTGAAAATCATCACGACAGAATCAGAAGCACGAGAGTGCTTTCAGACAGACTGCAAAAAACCGCAACACACAGAGCAAGATTTCAGATCTTCAGTCATTTTGCTTCTCCAGTAAATGCATCTTGACTTAAGAATATTTAGACATTTGTTTTGTTATTTGTATTAATTCATGTGTTTTTGTTTGTCAGCTACGAGAAGGTGGCGAAGGAAAACTGCCGGTCGTATTTCAGCGCTGTGGGAACGGCCGATTTCTCTGTTCTTTCCAGCGTCCTCGATAAACAGACGACTCTGTTCAACAACGCTCGAAGCTGTCTGGTGAGCAACACACACACTCTCTCTCTCTTTCTCACACACGCACGCACACGCAAAAGTATGTCAATCCACCCCAGACTCTAGTAATCATTTGTGTGTGTGTGTGTTGTAGGGCATCTCTGGCCAGAGTCTGAGCAGAGATCAGGTGGAGGTTCTGGGCAATCTGTCGTGTACGCTGGAGCCCGTCTACATCCAGAACTCGGATCCAGCCATCATTGAGCGCCTGAAGAATTGCCGGGACCTGTCCGACGCTCAGATCAGCGCTGTGCAAACTCTGCTGCTCTCGGGAAACACAACCTACGGGTGAGAGATCGAGCTTCAGGAGGCAGAGAGCGTTGAGTGAGGACTCTGTGAGTAACACACGTGTGTTTCAGGAACTCTTCGGTGTGGGACCAGCAGACGCTGCAGAGACTCGACCTCCTGCCGCTCTACTTCACCGACGTCTTCTGGCAGCGGTTCAGCGCCGTACGAACGTTCACTCTCTTCTTCTCAGCTCTCTCACTCTCTCTTGTGTTCCAGGTGTGTGTACCGCTGCTTTATTCTCTGTGTGTGTGTTACAGTCTGTGAAGAGGATGTACATGAAGGGGTTCATGCCGTTCCTGAGGACGAGAAACACGGAGAAGCCGAAACTAAAGAGACTCTTTAAGAACTGCAACGCTGAATTAGACGTGAAAACAAGAATCAGACGCTCCGCAGGTAACACACACACACACACAGTGACATTAAATAAATATACTGCAACTTGTATTCTGTATTTAAGACACTATATGTAGTTATACCAGTATGAGAGATTATTTAATATTGAATTGTGACGTGTCTGGATGACAGCAGGGTCTGATGGTTGTGTGTGTGTGTGTGTCAGTCTGCACCGCAGGGAACATCACAGAAGCCATCATCGCTGACGCCTCCTTCCCCTTCGGCTACACCTCGGCTCAGCTCGACGCCTGCCTGGACCCCCGAGTCCTGCGGGACAACTTGGCCGCCGTCGCAGAGAAGGTGGACGACGACGACTTCCAGAGAGTGCTTCTGAACAAGCTGAAGCAGGTGAGCCGCGTGTGAGCCGCGTGAGCGTGTGTGTTGTGTGAGTGTGTGTGTGACGCTGATGGTGTTTCAGGTGTTTCCCGGCGGTCTGACCGACAGCGTTCTGAAGCTGCTCGCGTCTGTCTCACGGCAAGCCACGGTGGACGAGATCAGGACGTGGAGCGTCAACAGCATCGACACGCTAAACGCTCTGATGGACAAAAGCAACGGGCAATGGGACCGAAACAAGGTGTGTACGTGTGTCTGTGTGTGTTTAATGCAGTGTATTCTGGGACCAACCGGCTCCTGTTGCGATGGAATGATATATAAAGAAATGTGGAAACACTGTGCAATGAGGGACATGAACAGGGACATGAACAGCTGTGTGTGTGTTGTAGAGCGTGGAGGTGATCCTGCGGTATCTGAGTGTGCCCGGTCACACTCTTGGCACTAACGAGCTGAACGTCATCGGTTCGAACCTGTGCTCTCTGAACGTCTCCACACTGCAGAGCATCACAGCAGGAGACCTGGGGTACGACACACACTCACACACTCATGAGATCAGCTCGCTCATTCATGCCTCTCTCTCTCTCTCTGTGTTTGTCTCACTCTCTCTCTCTCTCTCTCCTCGAGTACAGGAATGCAAACGTTCTGGATCTGTCCTTGTGTTCATATGAGCAGAAATCAGTTCTGTACATCACTGCGAACTCCTCACTCAGAGCGCAACACACCAGCGGCCGGATCAACTACCTCCTCATCAGCCCTTACCTCGGTAACACACACACCAGACTGATCTCATGAAGTAGCGTGTATGACACGCCAATTCGTATTTCCTTTTTTGACGTGCTATCAAGACGCGTAATCGCTTTTCAGCGTGTTTATGAACGCCATTGACTTAACGTTATATAAATATATGACTTACCTCAACCCCATCCCTAAACTTAACCATCACTGGGGTTAATGGCATTTATGACTCGACATTTGACGGCGTGTACAGACACGCGGAATGACGCGAACGTTAATGGCGTAGACATACACGCGGATACACGCGGTTAGCACAAAATGCGTAGAGATAACACGCCACTTGACTCGAAAGTGGCGTGTATGTTTACGCAAAAGTCATGATGTCATGCTGCACACACACAGTTCCTGTGGTTACACTAATGTATACTCAAACATTAGTATAAATGTGTATGTTTGTGTGTACTGTGTGCTTTTTAATTAATTTGAAGGGGAATTTAAAAGACTAATAAAGTGATAAATAGTCACTATTTATGTCTAATGACTGTGTGTGTGTGTGTGTGTGTGCAGGTGGAGCTCCGGTGGAGGACGTGAGGGCTTTGGCCTCTTACAACATCACTATGGACATAAGCACCTTCAGAAGCCTTAGCCCAGCTGTTTTAAAGGTAACACACACACACACAGGTCCAGCTCTGTGTCGGTCTCAGGCTAACTGTATGCCGTGTGTGTGTTTCAGAGTCTGAGTGTGTCTGACGTGCGGGCTCTGATGGGTTCTGCCGTGGAGGATCTGAAGGTGTTTGAGAACGACTCTGTGGTTCAGGTCTGGATCTCCTCACAGCCGCAGTCTCAGTTAGACACGCTGAATCTGGGTCTGCGCGGAGGCCGATCCGATCCGAGCACGTCATCCGCTCCGGTCTCCGGACTCACCAACAGCAGCGGCACGCAGTCGCAACCCACTCTCAGCCAATCAGCGCCTGTCACTGTGCAAGGTAAGCCACGCCCACTCTGATCAGCTGACACGTCAGAGCCGTGATGAGCCTGTCGAGCACTAATGACTCGTGTGTGTGTGTGTTTCAGGATCTGCAGCAGCGCTCTGTCTCGCCCCAGGCGTGTTGTTCATGGCGTCCTGTGTGTGGTTTCTGACTCTAACATGAGCCCAACATTAGCAAACCTCCATTACACTCATACAGTCATCAGTCATGTAATATCAGAACGCTATATTAGATCTTAATATCACTGATCTCTTTCCATTGATTTTATAATCAGCTCACATTGGTTCTGAAAGTGTTTTTCATTTACGATTAATGATTGTATAACAAATACATTTCTGGTCTAATAAAAGTAATTACGCTTTATGAAGGAAATCACATTTTGTTAAATTAATATATTGATAGAATAGCAAATTATCTTGTGCCTTCATTATTTTCTTGTCTTTAATAAAATGAACATGCTCTCACGTGTCAGTGCTTGTTTGGTCTTTCATTTGGTGTTTTGATTGGTTCCTGTTTTCCTTTGTTCGTTTCCCGCTACTCCTTCGTTTCAGTGGTTACGTTTCTATGTTCCTGACAGTAATTATCCCGACTTAAGACGCACCAATTCTTTCAGTTTGTGTCCGATCTCTGTTGTGTTCTCCATGTCTGTCAGCTTGTTCCCGAGTACTACTATTAAAGGGGTTATGAACTGGCTTTTTAAATTTTATTATATTGTTGTCTGAGGTCAACTTAAGACGTTCGCTTGGTTTTTGCATTCAAAAACATCAAAATGAATAAGTAATAGGCTATTTTGTACCCAAGTTGTGAGCCTTCCTGAAAAACGGTCGGTTTTTATGGGCGTGTCGCACTGAAGACTTGGAAATAAACGCCCACTGCTGTGAGTGGAGAACAGTTTTGCATATTATAATGAGTTTAACTCACCCGTCGCCGGTGTACGTGGGGGAAAACGTCCAATGTTGTCAAATGGCAACTGGATTCGCCCATACATGTTCAACCAAGAGTCCGTGTGTTGCACAATTCCTGTCAGATCCAAAATAGACGGCACAGCACGTTCTTTACTCTTAATCGGTCTGCAAATCCAGTCTCGTTTACAAAACAATCCTCAGTGAAAAGAAGCGCACAGACGACGATGTTTTACCTCATCAGCTGGAACGTCATTAAAAATAAAGTTTATCCATGCAGTCCTGAATCCAGAGGAAGCTTATGCAGCAACTGTCTTCTTCCACAACCGGGCACTGCACAATATTGCTCGGTATTGCTCGGTAGCTCGATCCGGTTTGTCATCACGAGGTAGGCATGTATGTTAGGCTACTTAGCTATGCGTGTAATGCGCGAATCGGTGGGCGGGGCTAAACCGGCCGTGTTGAAGCAGGCGTTGATCATCTTCTGCGGGGGTGGTGTTTTAACCCCTTCGACGTTGCCACTTTTAAAAACGAGTCTTTTTCAGAGGCTGGTGTCATTAAAAGCTTTTATTGGACTAACAAGTACTTTTTCAGTTCTGAAACTTAATATGATGACCTCTTAGATGTCAAAAGCTCAAGGAAAATTTGATTTCTCAGTTCATCACCCCTTTAAAGTTTGAGTCTTCAGTCTGTTCCTGATTTGCATATTTAAAATAGATTTTTCCAAGAAACTAACTACATAGATTTTTGTTTTACAAGATACTAACTTGTAAAACAAAAATGTTACTTTTCATGTATACTTTCACTGTGCAAGGTTTGATTGTGATAGGGGTAAAGGAAAAAATAAGCCCATTAGGGTGTGTTTTGGGCATATTCGATTAGTATTTTGCTCATTTGCATATTCAAATTCATTTTCAAAGAAACTTCTAATACAAAATAATGTATCATCTGCAAAAAGTAAAATGCAGATGATACATTATTGTAATGAGTACAGCTGTTATATGATTGACTCCAGCAGATGGCAGTCATGTATTGGATAAGTTTAAGTGCATTTGCTAAGGAGAGGTGTGGGAATGGAGATATGAGATATGCTGTGTACAACAATAAAGACGCCAACAATCTTAATTGTTGTCTCATAAACAATATAAGGAAAACTATTAAAACACGAGGGAAATCATTGTTGTGTCCATGACGATGGGAAAAAATAGGCATAAAGCTTACAAATTTACCCAAATTATTACATGCATGTTTAACCGAAGCTATTTTGGGTGTGTTTGTCCTATCCCCAATGTCACTTCTCTTTCTTTTACGGCCCTGAGAGACATCGATCTCCTCGGCTGTGGACCGATTGAAGAGATGTAAACAACACTGGTCCAGAAGCACTTCCTGTTTCAGTTTTTTAACTCTACATAAAAGCTGGGATAAAATACAACCAACAGAACATTTAAAACTGAATCAAAAAGTTAAACAAACATCTTTAAGATGTTTTCTTTACATGTGAAATAAAGAAAACGGTTAAAAACTGAAACAGGAAGTGATCTGGACCAGTGTTGTTTACATCTTGTGAAATGGTCTTCGTTCATCACGCTCTTAAAGGGAATGTGATGTGACGCTCTGATTGGTTTATTTCAGTTATGCCCAAACCACACCCTTTGAATAACGAAGCTACTTTAATGGGCTATATGCACGCATAAGTTCCAGTATTTGAGCAAGGATGCTCAACAGTTTCCGGTTGGAGATATTAAAGTGGAGGAAAACCGAGGAAAACGGGATTATGGCAGAATCTTTAAAATTTACTGTCCTCCCGTCTTTGAAACGAAACGTTCATACGTTTAGATGTAATTTTATATATAGTTATGTTTATTTAATATAATTTTAAAAAGAAGCATAAACACAACGAGGGGTGTCTGTTTTATCTGTTTTTGTGCTAACGTTTCTTTAGTATAACCATGGAGTATAAAATTGAGTATATATTCTCGGTATTGCATTGGACTCTACGATCGGCGGAAGTTATCGAGCATCCTTCCCAGATAGCAAACTGACATTGAATCAACGTGGAAATATGACATTGAAACAACGTTGATCTGACATTGTTTTGCTCATCGAATTAACGTTGATCCAACGTCAGATGCGTCATTCTTTCAAAACTAACGGAAAATCAACTTGAAATCAACGCGTTGTTTCAACGTTATGAAAGCAAACCAATTTTCGATTTCATTTAGCTTTGAAGAATGCCGCGTCTGACGTTGGTTCAACGTTAATTCGATGAGCAAATCAACGTTGTTTCAATGTCATGAGAGACGTCGTTTCCACGTTGATTCAATGTCAGTTTGCTGTCTGGGTTACACCTTCACCGGAAATACCGCCAGGCATAGAGCCCATTAGACCAACCCCTTTTAAACTTACGTCGAGCACAAGAGTCCTTTATCCCGCCGGTTAAAGGGATACTCCACCGTTTTGTTTTTTTTTCATATTATGTTATTCCCTTGACTAAGACGAGTTGATACACACCTTTCTCGTCTCAGTGTGTGGTGCGCTAGATCGCATGTAACTAGCCCAGTTTATTCAATATCGGCCAAGCAGAGCAGCGACCAAACACCTCCACGTTTTCCTTATTTTAATACAGTTACACGAGTAACTCGACCAAGGACGATGACACAAAATAAAACGTTGCGCTTTTCTAAGTGTGTAAAGTGTATAACTATATTGTATGGCGAGATACCACAGCAAGTGGTTGGGAGCAGCACTTCGTGAAAAGTCTTCTCCCCCTCTCACTCTGTGATGATATTAATGTGCCGAGTCCATATATATATACAGTATATACGCCGAGTCGAAGTGTGGTATCTTGCTCTGCTATTTCGCCATACAATATAGTTATCCACTTTACACGCTTAGAAAAGCGCAACGTTTTATTTAGTGTCACCATCCTAGGTCGAGTTACACTACTCGTGTAACTGTGTTTAAATAGGGAAAGTGTGGAGGTGTTTGGTCGCTGCTCTGCTTGATTTAGTTTTTTCTTTGTAGCCCCCCCCCCCCCCCTCCTCTTTTGTGAGGGAAGTTAAGTTTTCCATTGTAAAAGTTGTGTGAATTATTGTGAATAAAGTTTTTTTGGTAACACTTTAAAATAATGGTCAGTAGTTAACAAGTAGCTATGCAGGAAGTAATAGGTAGTACTGCATTAACACCGAAGTTAATACTATTAACTAATATGGAAGCAATATTAACTAATCATTAAGTAATAGGTAATTTAGTACAAAGGTAGTTCCTTGGTAGGTATTTGATTGTTACTAAAGAAATATATCCTCATTGAGAACTACTTGTGAACTAAGAAACAATAACCAATTAATTACTAATCACAAAAGTAACATTTCTAAAAAGTGAACAATTGTGGGGGTTTTACTCTTAACATGGTCATAATATTTCAGAAGCATGTGCCTCAAATGGGTTCTTTGTGGATACCAGTTTATGAAGTTTATATATCCCCCCAAATACATTAGCTAGGTTGAGATTGTGACCACTACTCTTGCCCGGATGGACGCATGTTCTCTGTTTATTTAAAACTTAAACATAAAATAATCCTAATAAAGACAGTTTTTAAAAATAAACCTTAAATAATTAGGAAGTGATGCTGACACTCATGATTGGATTAGTTCACTATTATGAGCTCTATTGAATGTCAGTCACATAATTGAAATTGGCTGCATTTATGTTACGATAAGCGCAAAACCACATCTTCCAGATTACAGTGTTTGTTGGAATATTAGTGCCTCACATAACCTGTGCAGTATGTGTCAAATATAAAATTAAATTACTTGTATCATTTGTGAAAAACATGTTAACTCCTCAATAACTACTTAAGCGTTACCTTGTCATCCCGCAGGAACTACTAGTGATGTGGCCCATTATTTTAAAGTGAAAAACATGTTAACTCCTAAGTATATATAAACTTCATAAACTGGTTTCCACAAAGAACCCATTTGAGGCACGTGCTTCTGAAATGTTATGACCATGTTAAGAGTAAAACCCCCACAATTGTTCACTTTTTAGAAATGTTACTTTTGTGATTAGTAATTAATTGGTTATTATTTCTTAGTTCACAAGTAGTTCTCAATGAGGATATATTTCTTTAGTAACAATCAAATACCTACCAATGAACTACCTTTGTACTAAATTACCTATTACTTAATGATTAGTTAATATTGCTTCCATATTAGTTAATAGTATTAACTTCGATGTTAATGCAGTACTATCTATTACTTCCTGCATAGCTACTTGTTAACTACTGACCATTATTTTAAAGTGTTACCGTTTTTTTTATTCAAATTCTCTCTCTCTCTCTCTCTCTCTCTCTCTCTCTCTCTCTCTCTCTCTCTCTCTCTCTCTCTCTCTCTCTCTCTCTCTCTCTGTGGGCGGAGTCAGTGGATGACAATGGCTGTAGACAGAATCACTCAGTTCAATTCTTCCAGACAAACACACCTGACAGGTAAGATCACCGCTTCCCTGTAGTGTGTGTGTGTCAGAATCTTTAAAAAGCCTGTGAAATCTGATTTGTTATTGATCTGATCT